GTATATGTGAAGAAATATACTAAAATTAATATAGTGGGATGCATAGAAATCATAAAATTTTATTGATAATGTATCAATCAAGAATCCTGGAACATATTATATATATTTTTTATAAATTAATACATGCAGAAAGCTATTATTATGTTATTTTCTATTGAATTTCAAGGCACAAAACATAAGCAACTATTATATGTGAATTACTATATCACTTATTTTATAGCGGGATGCATAAGAATCATAAAATTTTATTGATTATGTATCAATCAAGAATCCTAGAACATATTATACATTTTTTACAAATTAATACATGCATAAAGCTATTATTATGTTATTTTCTACTGAATTTCAAGGCACAAAACATATGCAACTATTATATGTGAATTATTATATCGATTATTTTCTATTTTACTATTTTTAATTTTTAATATTAATCGAAAGTCGACTAAAACTAATTCTCAAATGATTAGTTAACAATATTTTTATTTTTGTAAAAAATAAACACGTTATTATAAAATATAATTAAAATATAAATCAAAAAATTATTAAAATATTAACTTAAAATATATCAAATATATTAAAATTTCTAAGATACACATCATATGCAAATTCATAATTTTTAACTACTAAAATAATTATTCCATTATTAATATTTTTGTTTCCATAAATTTTGAGATAAAAAAATCATTTGTTGATATAAATGTAGATAAATGGATTTGACAAATTCAATTTATATTATATTCTCGAGGTTTTTTTAAATATTATATATACTTTTATTTAGTTCAGATTAAAATACTAATTAATAATTAATAAAATTTTATGATACATATCATGCTCAAATTTATAAATATTAAGTACTAAAATAATTATTGTATTATTAATATCTTTATTAGCATAAATTTCTTGAGATTAAACAAATTTTTTATATAAATGTGAATTTAAGAAATTATTTATTCTATTAGTTTATAAAATATTAGTTTTGAATATTATTTTTTTATTATTTTGTTGGAATTGTTAAACACAAGTGTAATTTGTCTGCATTACATGTAGACACTAGAATAGAAAAAAGTTATTTTATTTCATTAAATTCCATAAGATGAAAAGTGGCCTAGTGGATCAAGCGCACGGATAAGGCTTTAACATTGGGTGATTTGTGTTCGAATCATTCCAATTGCATTTTTTACAAATAAACATGCGAGAAACACGTCGATCCGTATCGGTGCATATCGGTCGATACAACACAATACGGGCTGATACGAATGTGTATCACTCTGATATGCGCAATTCAGGGGATACGGGTTTAGTCGTAGCGTATCCCGTATCCCCTCTAGACGATACCGATATGATACGCCTCGTATTGGATGTATCATATCGATATTTAAATCCTTGCTACAAAGTCCTACAACGCATTGTCCATTGGTGTCTAAACTAGACTTGTCAACCTCATCCCAACTCCACCCTTATTTCATGTGTCTAGTAGGCTTCCAGATATCAACTTCTACCTCCTTACCAGACTTCACAAAGGATGGCCTAGTTCACCTMCAACTGAGTAGGGCAGAATCTCAACATTTCCTCGCTTCTCCTTCTCCTCTCTAAGGTCTATATCTCTCCTTCCAAACCTAACCAGTTAGTTTGGTCCCTTACCTCAACGGAAATTTTACTTCCAAATCATTCTTCCTTATGCTAGTTGTTTGATCCTCATCATCCATCTTTCCAGACAGGATACTTGTTGCGCTTACTTTGGTTTCCCCAAGAATCTCCCTTTTCATTTGGGAGGCTACTTGTGGCTATATATATATATATATATATATACTTATGGCAACTTGCAAGAGGATAGGGCAGGTATACTTTTCCCCTCGTATTTGTGTCATGTATTATAAGGATGGGGAATCCATTGGACATCTACTTATCAACTACATGACAGCTCGTACAATTTGGCAATTCTTTCTCAACTTTATCTATAAGGCAGTTTCCAGTGAGTTCCCCCCCCCCCCCATGTTGTTTGTGATTTCATTGCTCAATGGAAAGTAAGTTGGGCAAAGAGCCATTGAAAAAAGCTTTAATTCATGCCATCATGTGGAGTATTTGGGAAGAACAAAACAAGACTTTTTGATAACAAGTTCAGCTCTTTGTAAGGTTTAAAGAAGTGCATCTTGGCCTAGGTCAATTTTTGGATAATCATTAGAAAAGAACTTTCAAACATTAACTACGGTGGTCATGATAGGAATCTCTTGGAGTTTTTGCAACCCCCCCCCCCATTTTGATCCCCATGTTAATATTTCCCTTCGCCAAGGCCTTGGTATGCCTTCATCCTTCATTTTGATGGCAATTCCAGGAGAGTTACATATGTGAGATTAGTGGAGTCATTTTGATGGAAGAGAGAAATAATATTTGGGCTTTTAGTGACCCTTTTTGAAGAAAGGCACAAAAATACAAAAAAAAAGGCAAAAAATCAAAAACAAATGTCAGAAAAATCAAAAAATTCAAAAAAAAACGCAAAAAATATTAAACATAATATTAATAAAAAATCTAAACTTGAATATTAAAATAAATGTCTTAAAAAACCTGTTATCTAAAATTAAAATACATAAACATAACATATAAAGCATATTCAAATGAAATCTAAAAATAAAATCAAACATATAAAACATTCTCAAGCATGTAAAACCAACAATCTCTTTTTTTCCTTAATTGTGTTACTTCAAGTACCTAATGCGATGTAAAACACTAAAACATATTGCATTCTTCATTCTACGAGCCGCCTTTATACCAAGCCCCCGACCCAGCCACTAGGCACACACCTGGGCAGAGGCGCAAGGCACATCGGGTGCACACATAGGTGCACCAGGCATGCGCCTATTGAAAGCAAGGTTCAAAGTATCAATATGTATCGGCCCATATCGGCTGATACGTATCGTGTCGATGGCCTTAAACCGACCCCTCTAAATCGGTTTCGAAAAAATAAATAAATAAAACCTAAAAAAAAGTACCGATAGGTAGGCTTGTGTCGACACTTTGAACCTTGATTGAAAGTACTACGCCTAGGACCTAGGTGAGGCGCATACCCTAAAATGCGCCTCACCGAAGCACCTAGGTGTGCCTTCTAAATCACTGATTTCAACTTCCAATACATGTTAGAGATAAAGGCCATGGCCCATCCCTAACCGCAAGCATATTTTGCACAAAGTGGCCACCATTAGGCTCAAATTCACATTCTCACACACAGAATGTCAGCCCAAGATTTTACTATCACACCAACAAACGGCACAACACAAGTCTCCAACACATTAGAGATAAAGGGGGAATTGGGTAAACTTCTAATCTCAGGCATGGTTTGCAAGAAGTAGATACCATCAGACTCAAACTCATATTCACACACATGTTAGCCTGAGATTTTACCATCATATCAAGCAATGCTCCCTTCTATCACATAGACACATACTAGAATGGAGCATTCGCCATTCGGTTCTAGCTAACGCCACATCCATTGTTAAATTATTAGCACTTAAATCATTTCTTACTACTTCAACCCATGTCCTTTCTGGTCTATCCCTACCCCTTCTAGCCCCTTCAACTTGCAACAAATCAGTTCTTCTTATGGGTGCTGTCAAAGATCTCCTATGCACGTGACCTAACCATCTAAGTCTACTTTCTCTCATTTTATCACCTATTGGAGCTACTCCTAGGTTCCATCCAATGAAATGTCATATAAATGGAATATAACCATCTATGCACATGACCTAGCCATCTAAGTCTACTTTCTCTTATTTTATTTCTTGCACACTAAGCCAAAACACAATCAAATGTCATATAACTGGAATATACTCATCTAATTTCAAAAACCAAGAAAAAGTTTGAATTAAAAAGGAAAAACCTCCACCATCATAAAGCAACATTGTAGTAGAAATCACAAGCCAAATTGCACATGTGACTAACATCATATCAATATGGATTTGCATAAATAGCACCCCAATCAGTCTCACTACCAAGGTTCAAAGTATTGATACACCCGGATTCGGCATGAGGGATGTATCGATACTTTGAACCTTGCACCCCCCCCCCTTTTTTAAGTTTTTTTCTTTCAAAATAGGTCAGAGGGTAGGTTTTAGGCCTGTCTACCCCCAGAAATAGGTCAAAAGCCCAAAACACCCATATTTTGTGTATCGGTGGCCCACCAATACGTGACAAATTTTGAACCTTGCTCACTACTAAGATAAACCATCATCATTAATGACTGAGCACATATACCCAACATGGTTACATTGGTTGACATTTTCATCAACTACTTCAATTTACTGATCAAGATAAACCTCACATCACAATTTCTTCCAGATACAGTGATACACTATGACAGGACTGACACAATATTCCATCAAACCCACCCATAAATGCTATACCAATGATGAAACAATGAGGATATGATTAATGACACCGCATACACTAATATGAACACTACTACTAGTTACAAATAATAGCAATTTTCAAAGTCAAATGTGGAGACCGTGGACTAAACATTTCAAAATAAGCAATGTCACCCATAACCATATCTAATTATTTTAGCTAATTGCAAATTGAGCATGAACTACTGCAGGGAGAGGAATATAGTCTCTGAGGAGAATAGATTAATAAGTCACTTGGATGAGCTGATAAACAAAAGCAGAATTCAACCTCAGTCTTCATTGGCCAACCTATTTGGCCCGACCAGAAAACCAAATAAAAGGGAGTACAAACATTTCCAAATCACCAATCCTATTTCTTGTTGAACTTTTTAAGTAAAACTAATTTCCAGAAAGTAACTTAATCAGTACCATTAAAAGACATTTCTTGGTAGAACTTAGAAATTGAGCACAATCCATTTGCAAACATGCAATTTGGCCGACATCCGGAACATGATTTTATAGTTCCAAGCCCAAATTGAGCAGACCCAAATTCAGCACAGGCAACTGAATGTACACATAAAACAGATACTCATAAAATGGAACGATGTGTTGCCATAATATTACCGCAAATTTTGATGGGCGCTTCAAGCTCCAATAGATTGGGTTGCTGCATGAAAATGTCCTTAGAGACGACGCAGAGCTGCTTGATCTCCGTCTCCGACAGTTGGACCTGCTTCCCTGGTCTATATCGAACTTCCAGAAGCCGATTAATTATATCGTCGAGAGCAGCAGGGTCCATCTCTCAGTTACCCCTAAACTCAACCTCTCGATTACCAACCCAAAAATGGAAAAGTATCTCTCAAAAATAAAAAAGGAAAAATATTCAAAGAGAAAACAGAAACCCTCTTTTGTTCTTCTTCTGCTCCTCTGACTGTTCAACCCGTTTTCGAGAAAATTTACATCCGTTGGAGGTGAGAAGCCTTTATCTTACTTTATCTTTGGATTGGCTTTTCTTCCTGTCTGAGAATCGAAGAGCTTTTGAAACATTCCTCTGGATCGCTGGTTTAAGGCAAAGAGTAGATATTCTTTTCAGCAGAGAGAGCGACTGATTAAGAAAGGTATAGAACGAATTTTGTTCGTGACTTTAAAGGCAGAACCGATGAGAGAGAGAGAGAGAGAGAATGGGTGGTAAGTTGCTGCTGACCTCGATTGAGAAAGAAAGAGAAGGAAAGCTCAAGAGGAAAGTGCGCAGTGCGCACGCCGATGGTGGTACCGCCGCCGGTCAGGCCCTGGAACCCTTGAAACCGGGGCCGGCAACCTTACCACATGCTTTTATTTGTGTGGAACTGCACAAGAATGGTCTGTGGTCTTATTTAGTAAGACTGATGAAATTACTGAATTGCCCTTGTTTAGAGTTGTTGAATTTTCTCGAATGACGTAAACAGCCCCCACATTTAATTGTATTACTAAATTTTAAAGCAAGAAATACTCTTGGAATTTGTCGCAATTAATATTAATATTATATTTCTACAACATTCCACCATTGCCCATGGTAAGTTAGAAAATGCATTACTTACCATGGGCAATAATGGAATGTTGCTTGGATTGGTCAAACGGAATTATATTACCGAGCGCTAATATTTTAGTTGAAATAAATGAAAATTACTTAGATATTTTTTATAACATTAATTGTTTCAAGCTAGCATGGGTCCGTCCATTCGGTATTACAATGGTTTATCGTTAGAGCGACCTAGGTTTGACTCACTTCCGTCTTCTTTTTCATTTAAAAAAAAAAAGAATTGTACTGATTAATTTAATTAAGAAGATGGTCAGTTCAATTGGATTTGTTCTTGAACCATCTTTCTAGGCCAGTTCTCTGTAACTGTATTGTTTATTTGTTTAGTAAATGATTACTCTAATTTGTTCTTAAATTTAGGGCCACCAATTAAGGCATGAAATGAGTTGGGTGCATGTTCAATTCTGATTGGAATTGTATATGATGTATTAATTTATTCTGTACAGATCTTACCGTAAAATGTGCACACAATGGGTGAATAAGGCCATGTTTGGTTTAAATTCTATTTCAAATAAATAAAAAAAAAAAACTGTTTCTTTATGTGAAATTTAATTCTTTAGCTTCATAATTCATTTAAAAAAATAAATAAATTTCATAGAACAAATTTCTTAAAATACTTTTAAATTTTCTGACAATTGTCTAAAATCTCCCTTATCGTTCTATCACACTCCATTTACATGTAACATTATATAGCATTTTCGAAAAAATTGATTTTCTCAATTAAAACAGTACGGACGGATCTGGGTTAAGGTTCTAACGATGTTGAAACAGGTGGACCGTTCCATTCTCGTTGCCTACAGTGTCATCATCAACCATCCCCAAGGTCTCAATGTCTATCTATGCAGGCGTTCCTAAGGACTATACTAGAAAGCATGTCACTGCAAATAACCTATATGCAGTACTTGTTGGTGATAAGAATTAATGTTGTACAATGTGGAAGTGGTAAGGTTATATTGATAGCAAACCAAATGACATAATCTTCCTGTATTACTCTGACCACAGAGGCCCAGGTGTGCTTAGAATGCCTAATATGCCTTTCCTCTCTATGTTGTTGATTTCATTGAGGTATTGAAGAAGAAACATGTAGCACGAACTTACAAAGATATAGTTATATATGTAGAAGCTAGCTTGTGAGAGTGGGAGTACTTTTGAAGGTATGATGATGCCTGAAGATCTCAACATTTATGCTGAGGAGAGCGGCTTTGGCACTTATTGTACTGGAATGGAACCTTCTCCACCCCTAGAATTCCTAACTTGTTTATTAGGCTAGGGGAATTGTACAGCATAGCATGAATGGAAGATAGTGAAACTCACAATCTGAAGAAGAGACACATTACAACAACAATATCATAATGCAAAAGACCGAACTTCCAACTATAATCATCCGAATACCCTTAACCCATATATATATATATATATATATATATATAGTACAAGAAGTCAGGGGATGGATCAAAGAAGAAAGAAGCTATCAAGCAAATAGCAAAGGTATTAATGCATAACCCTTATTGATGGTAGTGTTGAAGTGGATGGCAATATTCTATTTCGAACAGAAAGAGCTGCTTATATCCTCGATGCAATGAGGCCATATGTGTTGCCCTTGGTTGATGACTGGGGTTGCCTAAAAGCAAAAGCAATGGTTCGGTTGTTTAAACCTCACTGCAAGTCATTGACTCAATATGGCATGAGGCACATTTGTGCATTTGCAAACATTTTGCAACAGTGAAATCTCGGAGGATGCAATGGAGGCAGCATGTAGGCTGCCTGTAACGGACCCCTATCAGCATGTGGTTGTTATTTGTTAATGTCAGGCGTTTAGTTTAGAGTAAATTACAGATAAGTATCCTGTGCTTTGGGATTGGGGGTAGTAACACTTAGATACCCCCTAACTTTCACAAATAGACAATTGGGTCCACTCATTAGTATTCTGCCAGTTAAAACATTTTATAAACCAAAATTACCTTTTTTATGTACTTTTTGACTGTTTTGCCCTTCTAATATATAAACCCTTTCTCCCTTTTTTTCATTCTTACGCCTCAACTACAGCAAAACTGGATGAATCACTAAAACAGACAAGGGGTTTCATTCTCATACTTGAGAATGAAAATAAACAAAACATATCAGCATTCAATGAGGCAAATATCATACATCCGTTTTGAACATCACAAACAAGTAGATCAACTATGACTAAAAAGCATTCCTAAATTAAGCTTCAAAACTGACCAATCCTCACATTCAATGGAGCTTAGTCCTCATAGAAGGGAAAGCTAAAACAGGACAAAATGAGCGGCAAACTACTAATGAAATTAGCGGGGAAGAAACTGATTCATAGATAAAAGAAAACAGTGACAAAAAAATGGTTGATTCTTTGAGTAACTAACGAATCAATAATATATCAGTATGGAAATCCCAACCCAGAAAAAAAAAAAAAATTGATGTCGAGATTAGGTTGGCATCAAAAGTTCCAATGGAACTGGTGCAACGGAAACTCATCACTAGTTCCGCTTACTACCCCCAATCGGATCCCGACTACTCCATAGCAAAATGCAGGGGAATTAAATCGGTAAAACATGAAAATGAAAGAAGAAAGAAAGAAAAATGGAATGCATGGAATGATAATAAAGTTTACATGGTCGTATTTTGGCCTAATTTTTTTCCGTTTAGATTCCAATACCTAAGGTGAAACAAGGTTGTAACCGGGAGACTGACAAGATAATTGACTTTTCGATGGATCCTTGTTCAAAGTGCAGATCTCTCCTTCAGACTTTTTAGATTTTGGTTTTTCTTCCCTCCCCCTTTCTCTTCTTCTTGGATACACTACCCCTGTGCGTAGTGCATTTCTGGTTTATTTAAAAAAAGAAGAAGACGATAGAGAACAGGGGATCGACGACGATTGAGGATTTCTTCATAGGCGGTGACATTGATTTCTTCTACCCACGGTGGAAATAGTTTCTTTTCTCCACGATGAGCAACAGTGATGCAGGAGATTGAGTCAAGTTATTTTCTATCAAACTTATTTTTGCTGAGGCGGCGGCAACGGTTTTTCTACCCGCTGTGACAATAGTTTCTTCTCTCCATGATGAGCAACAGTGGTGCCCAGACCAAATAGAACCCAACTTTTAATCAGGGTTATTTTAGTCTTTTTAAATTTTATAATTTAAACAATTAAAAAATTGTGGGTATTTTGATAACTTTACAATAATCTGTAACATGAGTTAAAAAATGGACCCAAGTGTTTATTTTTGAAAGTTTGGAGTATTTATGTATTGCTACCAAGAGTACAAGGTACTTATTATCTGTAATTTACCCTTTAATTTGTATAAAAAATAATAATAATATTGAAACAGAGGAATTTTAGTTTATATGTTTTATGCCAATCATTGTTCTGTCCAGAAGCGATGAAATTAGGATCCTTCGATTAAAACTGTTTTCTGCCTTACTTACATCTAAAATGCCTTTTCCTTGCATTTGTATCAATAATTTGAAGAAAAAAGTGAAACACAACATGGACTATTATAGATAATGCAATCGATAGTAAGTGATTAATAGGTTAGTAACCAATTTGTATAAACATTGAACTGAGTGGAAGCCACTACTGCTGCAGCTTGTTCGGATAACATGGGTAAGTGCCCACCGACTTGCCCAATCAAAGTTGAAGTTGAATGAGACAAACCCCCACCGCCCATGGCCAAGGCCATGTTCAATTCATCTCTGAGCCACGATTCATTTCCTCATTTTTCTGAAAATTTTTATTAATTAGGTTTTATTTTAAAAATTTGAGAAATAATAAAAGTAAATTTGATATTTTATTTTTTATTAATACTTGAGGGTAATGTCAATTGTCAAAAAATCTAGGAATATTGTAAGATAATATATAAACAGTAAGGGTAGAATTAGTCAATTTCCTAAACTATAGAGGTACTTTAAGAAATTTGCCCTTTTCATAATTTCTAACTTAATTGTACGGGTGGACATGATTCTTAAAATTATGCTTTCTTGATATTCAAATTTCTACATTCAATGACTTTTCTTATACTCTTTTTAGATAAAAATTGTACATGTTTATCTTGAGAGAAATTTGGATATGGCACTAAACAAACAAAATGGAGAAATAGGATTCATGTGGTCAACCCCATGTAGTTACGACGACAACAACAACAACAATAATAATAATAATTATAATAATAATAATAATAGCACATGTGTGCCTATCATATCGTGAATTTGATATTCAGATTTTCCATCTAAATTTCATTCATAGAATGTATTCTAATTATATCCGACTTGGGGTTTCATTGGTTTTTCGAATAAAAGATCAACTGGGGTGTGCCTAGAATAATAAGGCTTTCTATTTTGATAGGAGAGTTTATTTATCTCCAGATTTTTAATGGATTTATTCYCGGCTATGGATTCATTATTTGAATCTTCTCCCATGAAATATATTGATCTGTAGTCTGATAAATCATTTTCCCTTTTGGTTTTAATAGATTTGGAAGTTTCTCCCTTTTCCCAAATTGAGGGGGATATCAATCTGGTTGATAATTCTTGATAGCTTATTTTTGACAAGTCTAATGGGTTTGTTTTGATTTTCATATTTTCGAGGAAGCTTGGCATAATCGCCATTGGTCTTTCTTTTCTGATTATTGCTCTAGATTTAGGCATATGTTCGTAATAAGACTCAACTTCAAAGATTCTTAGGCAATCTAAATTATGTAGCTGAGTTACCTTAGGCAAATAGGAGGGGGTGTTTTCTCGAAATATCTAGA